TCTTGCTCTGTTGCCAAGCTGGACACTACAACCACTGCCTCCTAGGTTCAAGAGATTCTCTTGCCTCAGCCTCCTGAGTAGATGGGATTATAGACATGGGCCTCCACACCCAACTAATTTTTGTATTTTTAGTAGCAGCAGGATTCCTCCATGTTGGCCAGGATGGTCTCAATCTCCTGACCTCCTGATCTGCCTGCCTTGACCTCCCAAGGGGCATTTATTTCTTTACACTTAAGGTTAGTATTGTTATGTATGTATTCTATCTGTCATCCTGGTGCTAGCTAGTCATTTTGCCAACTTATTTATGTAGTTCCTTCTTAGTGTGGCTGGTCTGTGTACTTCAGTGTGTTTTTTTAGTGGCTACTAATGGTCTCCCCTTTCCATATTTAGTGCTTCGTTAGCTCTTTCAAGGCAGGCCTGGTGGTGACAAATGCCCTCAGTATTTGCTTTTCTGAAAAGTATCTTATTTCTCCTTTGCTTATGAAGCTTGCTTTGGCAGTATATGGAATTCTGGGTTGAAAATTCTTTGCTTTAAGAATGTTGAATATTGTCCCCCCCAATCTCTTCTGAATTGTAGGGTTTCCACCCAGAGGTCTACAGTTTGTCTATTGGCTACCTTCTGTAGGTGACCTGGCCTTTCTCTCTGGCTGCCCTTAACAGTTTTTCTTTTGACATTGGAGAATCTGATGATTGTGTCTTTGGGTTGATTTTTTTTCCTGGAGTGTCTTACTGGGTTCTCTAGATTTCCCGAATTTGAATCTTGGCCTGTCTTGCTAGGTTGAGGAAGTTATCCAGGATGATATACTGAAGTATGTTTTCCAACTTGATTGCATTCTCCCTGTCTGTTTCAGGTACTCCAATCAGTCATAGTTTCAGTCTTTTTACATAATCCCTAATTTCTTGGAGATTTTATTCATTCCTTTTCATTCTTTCTTCTCTAATATTGCCTGCCTGTCTTGTTTCAGAAAGACAGTTTTCAAGATATGAGATTCATTTCTCTGCGTGGTCTGTTTGGGTATTGATACTTGTGATTGCATTGTGAAGTTCTTGTGTTGTCTTTTTCAGCTCCGTCATTTATGTTCCTCTCTAAACTGGATATTCTGGTTATCAGCTCTTGTAATATTTTATCATAATTCTTTGCTTCTTTGCATTAGGTTAGAATATGCTCCTTTAGCTCAGTGAAGTTTGTTATTACCCACCTTCTGAAGCCTACTTCTGTCAATCATTCATCTTAGCCTCAGCCCAATTTTGTGCCTGTGATGGAAAGGTATTACAATTATTTGAAAGAAAAGAGGCATTCTGACTTTTTGAGTTTGTGACATTTTTGCATTGATTCATTCTCATCTTTGTGTGCTTATCTACCTGTGATCTTTGGAGGCTGATGACCTTTGAATGGGGTTTTTGTGGGGTATTTTTTGTAGTTGTTGCTGTTTTCTGTTTTGTTTCTTCTTTTTTAACAAACAGACAGCTCTTCCATAGGGCTACTGTGGTTTTCCTGGGGGTCCACGCCAGGCCCTAGTTTCTTTGGACTCTCCTACACCAGGAGCTATCCCCAGTGAAGGCTGCAAAACAGCAAATAGGGCAGCCTTTTTGCAGCCTTCACTGACGATACCTCCTGGTGTGGGAGGGTCTGATGCTGGCAGGAATACTTCTGTAGGGGGTGTCAGGACATCCCTGTTGGGGAGGTCTCACCCAGTTAGGAGGAATGGGATCAGGGTCCCACTTAAAGAAGCTCTCAGGTTGCCCCTTGGCAGAGCAGTGGGCTGCACTAGGGGGAATCCCCCCATGTCCAGACTGCCTGGACTTTCCAGAGCCAGCAGATGGGAAAGGCTATAGGTTGAACCACAGATACAGCAGTCAGTCCTCCCTGAGATGGCTTTATCCCAGAGAGAGATCAGAGTTCTGTTCATAAAACTCTGGCTGAAATTGCTAAAATTGTCACATAGAGGTCCTGCTAGGTGACGAGGAATGGCTCATTGGGGCCCCACTTAAAGAAGCAGTCTAGCTATGATCTGCCACAGCATCTGTGCTGCACTGTGGAGATATCCTCCCAGTCCAGACTGCCTAGACTTCCCAGATCCAGCAAGCCAGAACAACCTGCTCCAGCCACAGAAATGGTGGCCACCCCTTACCCCATGAACTCAGTCATCTCAGGCAGTCTCCAGCATGCTGTTGCTGGCCATCAGCTGAGGTTCTAAGCCAGTGGGTCTTAACTTGTGAGGTGCCATGGTAGTGAGGTCCCCAGAATGATGCTGTTTGGCTCCCTGGTTTCTGCCTCCTCCCCAGAAAACTAAACAGAGGAACTCCTGTCTCAGCAGAATTTCTGGGCTGAAGTATGCAAAAACCCCTGGGTCTCCTGTGCTTATCCAAAAGGCCATGGAGAGACCTCATGGCTCTGTGCTTCTAACCCAAAACCCTGGTGGCATGAGCTCATGAAGAGATCTCCTGCTCCATATGTTGCAAAGATCAGTGGGAAGAGAGTGGTTTCCCCAGCAGAGCCAACCAAACATTCACTGCCTCCCTTGGCTGGGGTTGGGGGTTGTTCTGGTTCTATTACATTCATAGGTGAGCTGTTGCCCCACCATGCTTTTCCTCACTCTCCATGAGTCACATTAACTGCATAGTCAATTCCAATGTGAAAACCTGGATACCTCAACTGAAGATATAGAACTCACTCACTGTTTTCTTTCTTCTCTGTCATACTTGACATTTTATATTTCACATATCACACTATAGAAGACCACTTCAAAGCCCAGGCTCTGTCTTATCTTCTATAGGAATTTGTTACAATTTAGGAAACACAGTGTCTTTACTTCTAAAAGTTTATGAGGAAGAGTCGTAGTGAGCAACACAAAGCTATGCTGCATCACTGTAAATGGGACTCAGAGCTTTATGTACTAGACTAGAGTTTGTAGGCTCTCTCAGTTCCACAATGGAGCTCTCAGAAATTTCAGAGAAACTAGAGCAACTTTTGGCTGCTACTTATCAAATAATGAGTTGTCATTTCAAATGTTTGCTATATCCTCAATTATACCATTGAGCAAGGAATGTACTAGGGGGGAGGAAAGCAAACTTGTAACTACAAAATAAGGTATCAATATTGTTCAGGACAAATGAAAAGTAAATACTAAAGTAGTGGACACATATTTTTTCTTATAAATATATGTAAATAACTGCTATTAGGAAGATAAGTTCTACATCAGATTTATGTATCTTTTCTGATGGGAATTGTATGGCTGTTTCATTCTTTGAGTCTGAGTGTTTCTAAAATATATATCTAATAAGATGGATAGATAAAAATATGTATCTAAAATATGCATCTAATAAAATATGTATCTAATACATATTAGAAATATGTATCTAATAAGGAGAAAGAATTGGGAATGGTATTTTAGATAGAATGGTAAGGTGGAAACCTAGCATGTGACTTTTCTGAAGAGTCTTGAAGAAATGAGTGATCCATCGAAGGGAAATTCTGACGATCCAAAGATTTCCTTGCTTCTCAGACAGAGGTAACAGGAAGTGCAGGTACTCTTAGGCAAAATTGAACTTGGCTTGTGCCAGGACCATCAACTGGCCAATACAAATAAGGCAGGTGAGTGAATGGATGAGGAGAAGACTAATTAAATAATTGATAAACAGTTTCAGTTAACATTTTTTTCTGTATATTTGAATTGCCATAAGGTGTCATATTCTTGCTCAAATTTAACTTCATTCCCTCCTTCCTTTTTGCCGTTAATGTCACATATTGCTTCTTTCAATGTATAAATCTTACTGCAGTTTTTTGGTCTTACAATCTTATAAATATTGTTTTATGCAATTAAAAATCAGTTGTGACAAAAATAGGAAAAATAATGTATTTAAAATTTGTCTTTATAATTGAATGTATTGGTACTCTTTGCTTCACCATGTGGATTTGAATTGCTATCTGGTGTGACTTGAATTCAGTCTAGAGCACTTCCTTTAGTAGTTCGCGTAAGGTGAGGTTTGCAGCAACAAATTTTCTCAGTCTTTATTCATCTTGATGTGTCTTTGTTTTGCCTTTATTTTTCCAAGATAGGTTGCTGGATTCTTGATTGACAGTTGTCTTGTTTGTTTGTTTTCTTTCAGCATTTCAAATATGTCATCTTGGCCACTGCTTTCTGGCCTCTATCGTTTTTGATGGGAAGTCAGCTGCTAATGTTGCTGGGGTTACCTTGTGCATGGTGAGTCATTTTTTATCTTAACGCTTTCAATATTATCTTTGTCTTTCAACTCTTTAACTTTGATGTGTCTGGTTGTGGATCTCTTTGAGTTCATCCTACTGGAGTTTGTTGAGTTTCTTGGATGTGCAAAGTTCTTCATCTAATTCAGAAGAGTTTTGGCCATTGTTTCCTTGAGAGTTTGCCCCTTGAGTGTGCCCCTTTCTTTTTCTCCTCTCATTTTGATGCTGCTATTAACATATGGTTTGGTTTGCCTAATTGCGTCTGACAGATCTCTTAAGACTTCATTCATTTTTACTTATTTCTGTTTCTTTGTTAAAAATAATCTCAAATTGGAATATTTCTATTGATCTATTTGATTTTTTTCTTGTGATCAAACTACTGGTGAGACCTTTATAAAGTGTTTATTTTAGTTATTTGATTTTCAATTCAAGAATTTCTATTTGCTTGTTATAATTTCTAACTCTTTACTGGTATTCTTTATTTGATAGATCATTACTATACTTTCTTTTCAGTCTTTAAACATTCTTTTAGTGCTTTGAACAAATTACAGAAGCAGATTTGAAGCATTTATCTGCTAAGTCCAACATCTAGACCCTTTCAAATGCAATTCTATTATCTGCATTTTTTTTTTTACTGTTATAAGCAAACATACTTAATTTCTTGCAATATTTCACAATTTTTGAGACACTATAGAAAATACTGTAGCAACTTCAGATTACAATCCCACTGTCCCAGAGCTTGCTATTGTTACTTTGTTTGTGTAGTGATTTTTCTCATAAATGTAGTTAAGCTTGTTTTTCTTAGAGTGTGTAACCTTTACCTTTGCCCAGGTTTTTACTAAACACAAACACGTGCGTGCAGACACACACACACACACACACACACACACACACACACACACACTTAAAGTTCCTAAATCAGCATAGCTTAATGGTCAGTCAGTTATTGGTCAGAAGTTGTACCTAAGACCTCTGAGCCAATGAGGCTTTCATCTATTGTCAATAGATCTATATGTGTCTTGAGTGACTTTTTGAAATTCAAGGTGTTTACAAGTCTGTCCTGCATTCATCCAATAATCAGTGGTTCACAAGTTTCATTTACTCCTTCATGGAGATAACTTTGTGCATATGCACAGCTTTCCAGGGCACCAGTGATGAGTCTAATCTTAACAGGGCCTTTGGGTTATTGCCGTCTGTGAGTGTCCCTGCAAAATTTCTGCTGTTTTGTTTGTTTTTACTGCTATCATGGAGATGTTAGCCTTCACTGGTTGATGACCTCTGTAATCTCTATTGTTTATGACAAAACTTCTGGGAATAATTTTTTCCATGCTTTGCTACAAATAAAATCAACTCTTTCAGACAACGCGCTTAGCTGACTATGCCTCACAGCCTGTCCTGGCAATGCCTGTAGTGGAAGTTTTGCACCCTAAAGCTGAGGGAAATGATGAGACCTGTAGGTGCTTTTGGGCTGCCCCTCTTGTCCACAATAGAAATTCTGTAACACGAAGCTGGAGGCTCAGGGGGCAGCTCCTACTATAAATATAAATGTCACATATTCTCATTTTTCTTACTGAGATTCAGTATATTCTTTTGAATAACTGCTTCTGATTTTTATATGCCCATTGTCCAAGACCTAGAGACCCCAAAATTTGTTTTTATCAATATTTTCCAGTTTTATCACTATTTTTCTGAATACAAGATTTTTCAGGCTCCTCACACAGCCATGCAGCAATACTGGAATATCTTTTATTGATTTTAATAAATGTATACTTACAATATATAAAATGGCAGAATGGATTTGGTGACATATTAGGTGCATTGAATGCATGCCTATGCATGATGCTCTGAAGGATAATCCATGTGTAGTATGATATTCACTCCTTAATTCCATGGATTTTTGACTTCTTTTGCTTATGTCAGTATTCTTTTCCGTTAAGTTGTAATGGATTAAATTATTATTGGGTCAATGATTTTCTCAGACTGACCAAAATTTATTTGAAAATTTAAATACATGTGAATGTGTTAACATGTTTATTCTACCCTCCTGTTCCTTTCCTCTGATTTTCCTCTACCAAAACCTTCTACTTTATTTGATTATATAATGCATTGTTTCTTTTCATTCTTCTAATGAAACCAGTATCAATCATGCAAATAATTAGAAAAAACTATCAATATTTTGTGTCTCAAAGGCCAAATAGCACTTTTAAGATATGCATTTAAGAGCATTTACTTAAAATGATGGTAATCAGAAAGTTTACAACAATTTCCTTTATACCTTTTTCGGAGGTCATTCTCACACTCTTTCTTCATTCCTGAATGTCTTTTTTTAATCTTGGGATTTGCACATTCCTCCGTGTGGATTATCTTATATATCTCGTCTAGTTTTCCATTACTTTCCACCATTACATATTGCCTAGTATGACATAATGCATAAGAGTCTTTATAATGGCACTAATTATTTAAAATTAAAGTATCTACCAAATAACGATGATTTGTGAAGAATTTTAAAGGGTAATCAAAAACAATCAGAAAGGAAATTTCTAGACAAATAATTTCTGAAATTCATTTTATGGGCAGATAAAACTAACATTTCATTTGAATGTAGTTAATAGAACATATGCTATTCAATATTGAACTCTTCTTGTAGTATTCTGAGTAATGGTAATATGGTTAACCTTAAACAAAAACAGAAACGAAACCAAATCCTGTAGCTTATTATTTGGCAGGCAGCCAAAGAAATATTGGCATAAATAAGCAGTCCCTGAAAAGTATACAAGACATAGAAATTAATTATCCTAAACTAGTTAATTGTTTCTTTTCACTCAGGACATGAACCCATTTTTGGTAACTGTTATTAATTAATTTCAGGAGAAAAATCTGTATTACAGGTCTCAAGAAATCTTCCTTGAATGTACTGTTTTGGGGAAAAAAGGAAATGTTTCCTGCTATTGTTAAAAAACATTCCAGAATGGTTAGTGCTTACCTGACTTGCTACCTGAAATTGAAATGTAAAATACTGACTATATGCAGATTTAAATGTATATTATTTTAACTTCAGGTATAAGAGATGCCCAAATTCACACTATTAAAGACATATGTATCATTAGTAATATAGTTAATTTAAACCTAACATGTATTTATCTAGCAATGATATCCTCTGGGGTTCATGAGAACCTCTCTATTAGGGCCATGGAAAACTCTTAGCTTAATGTGGCTAAAAGCATAGCACTTAAAAAATATCAAATTTCGATTTCTCTTTTCATTGGTCAGGTTTCCATTTCTCTTTTGATCCTGCACTAGCTTATGTTAGAATGAATATTTCCTTATGGCAAGACCCTTATTACTGATTAAAGACAATTGAGACACTTGGTCTCTTCAGCATCTCAGGTGTAAAACCTAAATTTGGTTTTTATTCAAGGGCATTTAAGGATGGTTGCTACTCTTCAGTGGTCTCCACAAAGTGCTTACTACTACTTTCAATTCTTTACTGTCCGTCCATGGTGGGCTGGCTGTAGTTCTTCCCTCATTTGCCCTTCACACCATATTCTCTATGATGTGAAGATTTGGTGTTTTCTAGGATCTAGTCTGGACTATAACACTAAAAAAGTCTTCATTTTAATTTTTATATCTATACCATATTTGCACAGTAAATAAATTTTGGTTTTTTTAAGTTGCGTGTTAATCATCCACTGGAAGACTCATAGACTACTGTGACTTTCAACACTTTGCCTGCAGAGTGAAGGACTTTAATGCCTCATATTCCATGCCTTAATGTATGTGCAGCAGTTTCTCAAACTCTAATGTATATCTTATTGAAATTTTGCTATGAAGGAAGAGTTCAAAATTAACTAGAGAATCTTTTTTTGGGTCAAGAGCCAGGATACTCATGATGCTGTTAAAGAATATGTCATTTATTGAAGTATTTTGTGCTTGTTCTTCTTGAAGTATGTTAGTAACAGGACAGAAAACTAGCTTGATCTAAATAGCTTTCTAATCCCTTCATTAATTTTGCTTATTAAAACCTGTAAAATAATGTCTTCATTGCTTAGCAGATAATTTAACCTAAAATAGCATTTCACAAATATTTATATAGAAGAATGCATTTTTAAGCTACACTAATACATTCAACCGAACATTTCTTTGGCAAAGAGAAAAAATATAAAAGCACATAATAGATCAATTTGAAGGAGAATTCAGGCATATGGGTGGCCCCAGCTCACAGGAGCTTAAGTAAGATGGATGAAACTTCACTGACCACTGAAATATGAATCTAAATGCCAGGGTTTGATATAAAGATAGAGAATGACCATAAGACAAATTATTCCACAGGTGGAGCATGGGGATATTTAGGGTCACTTGTACTGAAAATAAATGATCTATTTCTGTAATTGAGATCATACCTTCTTTGTCATCCAAACTTAAAGTTCAAAATGTTGACCAATTCCTCTTATTCTTATATTCAGTAGGACACTGAATGCTGTGTGTCACTCTAATTTTTCACTTATATTGCTATCAGATTGAGCAAAATATGTTCTCTACAGCAGCCTCCTAAGATACTCTGTGACTCAAGCCTCATTTTCCTCTAACTCATAGTTTCTGCATGTCATGGAAATATTGATATGTCTTAAATACTTTTGCTTTCTAAAAAAAGAACATAATATTTTTATGAATTGAAATCAACATGAATTGCTTTCTGTTTATTAACAAAAGTCTAAAACTCTCTGACTGACTGAAAATGCTAAGAATGATCTGATCTTCCATGCAACCCATTTAGCCATGTCTGCCTTTCAAATATTTCTACCCTCATCAGATTATTCTCCTTTCTTTTCCACAAAACATTCTCTTCCATGGTTTTATGTTAGTCCTTTTCTTTGCATGGTACACACACATTTATTTCTACCAATTCAAAACTTAAATATTCAAGTTTAAATTCAATATTTTAAGTTTTCTTTGATTGTCAGTTTATTGATAAACCTCTATTTTGAAAGTCTGGATAAATTT